TCCCTCCGGTCCCGCTGGCGGGGGCGTGCAGGCGCGCGTGCCGCCCGGCACCATCGCGTGCAGAACGGGCACGGGCTGTGGGGTCAGGCACGAGTTCCGTTCGTTCTGGGTGAAATTTGGAAGTGCTGTGCTACCAGCCCATCAGCGTTACCCTCGGCAGGCCCGTCCCGCAGCAGCTGCTGCGTGGAGTTCCGGAGGAGCAGAAAGGAGATCTTCCAAGCACCGAGGCATCACGCTGCAACGTTTGGTATCGTGGGTCGGCAGTTTCAGAAATCCAAAAGCGTGCAAAGCCCCCCAAATAGAACTGGTGCACAGTTTGCACCGTGTCAGAAAACCTCGCCATTTGATTATGTGTCACGCTCAGCCCAGAACCTTATAGACGTTGGTATTACTGAATGACTCTCCTTTTTGTTCTCTTTTGTTTCAGTAGAACGTGTGCTACCATCACGATGCCTGAAGTAAACACAGATCACCTGGATGAGCAGCAGGTGCAGCTCTTGGCAGAGATGTGCATCCTTATCGATGAAAATGACAATAAGATTGGAGCAGATACTAAAAAAAACTGTCACTTGAATGAAAACATTGATAAAGGTACAGCTTGCTTACCTTCTAATTGAACTACTAAATTGATTGATTATTTCCAGAAATCTAGTCATGATTAAATTAAAGCCTCTATCTCAGGATGGGATGACACGTTGATCAAACCAGAGCAAGTGCTTCCCCACACCCCCTTCTTCCCCCAGCTTACAATGTCTATTTTTAAAAATACTGCAGTGTGGGGGAGCACGCAGTTGGAGGCAGTAGCAAAGGAGGGAAGTGTCTGATTGCAGATGTCAGCCGTGCATCTTGATAAATACTTTTTAATCGCATTTTGATGATGAAATAGTAGTATTTTCCTGTTATAGATACCTGATTCTTTGTAGCTTTTCCTAAAGAACACCACTTGCTTCTTTGCTGAGTTCTTTTCAGGTAGAAGAAACTTTGATTTTTAGTAGTTCACACAGAGTTCTACTTCGAATCCTGTTGATGGGAAAGGGTTTTTTTACTTGTCGTCATTCTAATGGACTGTGCGTTTTAGTTGAGGTTGGTCAGACTCATAAAGCTCTCAGTAGTTTGTGACCTCTGTTTCCATACTCAGGGGAGGCATCTTCCTGAAGAGTGAGGAATAACAAACTCAGAAGTTGCAGAAAACAGGAGTTGTACTGTTTTTGAGGTTTTGAGAACTTTTGCAATTCCTGAAGCTTCTGGAAATTCCGTAGTTTTTTTAGGCATTTTTGACTCATCTCTTTTTGATGGTAAATTTATGGATGCTGAGCCCTCCTTGGAAGCTTGCCCAAACGTGCATCTTCAGAACAGTGAACTGACCGAGTTCAGTAGCTCTCTTCTGTTGCATTGTTGTTCTTCACCCTTTTCTGATTTCATGTTTTGCGTAAGCTGACATAGAAACCTATAATAATAACTCCTGAGTTTTTTATCAAGTCCTTTTAACATACATGAATTTTAAATTAGACTACCCAAAAATGAGACCATTCTAAGCCCTTAAACCATCTTCATATGGTTTTTTTTCTCCTCTGTTAAATAGCTCTCTGCTTTTTTTTTTTTTTTTTTTTAGGTTTACTGCACCGAGCTTTCAGTGTTTTCTTATTTAATACCGAAAATAAACTGTTGCTACAGCAGAGGTCAAATGCAAAAATTACATTTCCAGGTTAGTACTGACCACACTGCATTATCAAAATGTTGTATTTAAATCAATATTTAAAAAAATATGTCAGTCTAATCTTGCAGTGTAACTCATTCTGAGGTTTTGGAATTTACTGCTTTGGAGAAGAGATACTTCTAAAAACTTCTAAGAGTTCAAGATGGACTTGTCTTGTGGATGAAGTAGGATAACGGGAACACTAGCTTATTGTTATAGGTACTCTTGGGAAATCATAGAATCATAGAAGCACTTTTTGGTTGGAAAAGACCATTAAGATCATCGAGTCCAACCTTTAACCTAACCCTGCCATCCCACCACTAACCCATGGCCCTAAGCACCTCATCTATCCTTCTTTTAAATACCTCCAGGGATGAGGACTCTACCACCTCCCTGGGCAGCCCATTCCAGAGCCTGACAACCCTTATAGAATCATAGAAGCACTTTGGTTGGAAAAGACCTTTAAGATCATGGAGTCCAATGATTGTTCCCTGACATGTTTGATCCTGTTTATGCGAGCACAGAGTGGGTGGTATTTACCTCCTCTGCTGCAAGACGTGTTTAGTGGAGTTGAAGAAATTGCTCTGGTAGCTGTGCAGAGCGTTCTGATTCCACTGGTAAAGACGCGTATCGATGTGTAGCAGAGCCCTGCTGCTTGGGAAGCAGTTGGGCTTCAGTGAGGTACGCAGACCTTCACAAAATGCTTTTTTTACTATAGAACAAGTGAGACTGTGTGGGCAAAGTACGTAGTGCATGATTTTTGAAGACTCTTGAACTATTACTGTCAAATGCAAATGGAGAGGCATAAAAATAAGAAGCTGAATGACAGAAAAATAGCTTACGCAAGACAGGCTGGAGGAAGCATAAAGCTGTCTGTTTCAGAATTTTCAAATGGAAAACAAATCCAAGTGTTGCCAACCCTCTTCAACTCAAGGAAAAAAGACCTTTTTTGTGTCCAAGGGAATCTTTGCTTTAGAGATTTTTTTTTCCTTGACTACTAACTAATCAAAATGCTCAAGTGTAGTTAGTAGGTAGTCAGACTGTGTTTTAGATGCTTTTGAGGTAGACTCACAAATGAAAGGTTGGCCAATCACATCTGACCCTTCTCTACAGAAGAGAAACAAAGCTGTGACAGCTTTAATAACTGTCCTACTTCTTTCGGTTTTTCGTTTGGTTTGGGTTTTTTCAGGGTTTGGGGGCATTTTTTTGCAATGCTTTGTACATGTTAAAAATGTACCAATACAAACTTCTTGCAGATTGTTTTACCAACACTTGTTGCAGTCATCCTCTGAGCCATCCACTGGAACTGGAAGAAAATAATGCCATTGGTGTTCGGAGAGCAGCACAGAGACGACTGAAAGCAGAGTTAGGAATTCCCATGGAGCAGGTAAAGGAAGGAAGGAAGGAGGAATGGGAATTCTTGCCAGTGTTTGCCAATTTACAGACTAACTGGATCTGGCAGAAAAATGAATTTAACTTTGGATATGTGGAGAACTTAGTGAATTTGAGATTACTTCATCTGTATTCCAGAGTCTCAAAAGCTGCTGTCACTAAATGGTATTTTAGAGTATTGCACTGCTTGAACTAAATAGGAGCCACAGAGTAAATCGCACAGTAACGAAGGACTGCGCTGCTTCAGGTCTGGGTGCCTGCGTGTTTCACAGAATCATTTGGTTGGAAAAGACCTTTAAGATCATTGAGTCCAACCATACCTGTCCACGACTAAACCAAGCACCTCGTCGACCTGGCTTTTAAATATCTCCAAGGGTGGGGACTCTGCCACTTCCCTGGGCAGCCCATTCCAGAGCCTGACAACCCTTTCAGTGAAGAGATTTTTCCTAATGCCCAACCTAAACCTGGCACAACTTGAGGCCATTTCCCTTCGTCCTATCGCCTGTTACCTGGGAGAGGAGACCGAGCCCCACCTGGCTACACCCTCCTGTCAGGCAGTTACAGAGGGCAGCAAGGTCTCCCCTCAGCCTCCTTGTCCTCCCCGCCCAGGGAAGGCAGGGCACCCGGGGGAAGGCAGGCAGGGCAGCGTGCCCAGGATCCTTCCTCCAGAGCTCTGCACATCTCCTGCAGGACTGGCACTGCTGGAGGGCATCGCTGCGAGCTGCTGCCAGCCTCTGGGTACAAGTCCCTCTGCAATCCCAAGTTTCCTGTGGGAAGTAGGGTGGCCAGGGCGCTTGGTGGTTCTTCTGGAGCACGCGCACAGCCCGCTTCTGGTACCTTCCCTTCTGGTGGCAATTCGGGAGTGCAGAGAGGGCGGGGTGAAGCTGGCTGAGCAATGCTCGCGGTTGAAATCTCTTTCCACATTTTGTAACTCATTATGTTTGTGTCACAGGACACGGGAGCAGCAGAGTGCTCCCGGGAAACACGATAGTTAGGTTGTGCCCACAATTAATTACCTGGTCTGCGACTTGCACGGGGCCCTGGTAGATGAGGGTTACGCGAGGTCTGGCAGCGCGCAGTTCTGGCCTTGGCTCACGGCAGCTGTCAAGTCTTTTCCTTGGGAGGTAAGGGGTAGGTGCAAGCGTTTGTGCTCATCAGTGCTTCAGCAAGTGCACGTTAAGGTCTGGTAAACATTATTTAGAACTTACTGTATAGAAGAAATCCACTCCCAAGTATTACAGGGAGTCTGACGAGAAATACTGTGCGATTCATGTCATCAAGGAGCAATAAAATTTTGTTTCATAGTAATTCTTTGAGAGAAAGTGCATTGTAATTGTACACTTGGGGGAAAAATAATTTTGAAGGAAGAGGCCAATAGCTGGTAATTCTTCTGTAATGCCTAGCAGTGCAATTGTTCTGGTTTGGCACGGGGTCTGACAAGTGTTTTGGTTGTAGGTGACTCCAGAAGAAATCTCCTATCTGACACGAATTCACTACAAGGCCAAGTCTGATGGGATCTGGGGTGAGCATGAGATAGACTACATCTTGTTTGTCCAGAAGGACGTGGCACTGAATCCCGACCCTAACGAGATCCAAAGCTACTGCTACGTGACCCAGAAAGAACTGAAACAGCTCTTGGACAAGGCCTCCAAGAATGAAGTGAAGATTACTCCGTGGTTTAAACTAATTGCAGAGACTTTCCTTTTTAAGTGGTGGGATAACTTGTCTGACTTGAACAAATTTGTTGATCATGACAAAATACACCGAATGTAAATAGCTGGGGTGAAAGATGCTGAAGGCTTGCAGTGAGGTGCTCGCTCATTAACACTACGGTAACTGGCGACTCTCGAATGTAGAGGGGTGATCCCTGTTTAACAAACAGCCTGGTTATAGCCGATGGTTTTTCTTCCCTCTTCAGCTCCTCTCCCCCCCTCCCCCAGCCCTGTTCCTCTTGGGTGAGTTAAGCTTATCTCCTGTAAAATGGGCAAAACACGAGAAACCCCTGGGTTTGTCCTTCTCCATTACCTCCTGTGATATGAAAGGTCCACAGCCCGCCCGCCTGCCTGCCTGGCTCTCGCTCCCTTGGGCCCCGACAGGCGCTGGTGGGGGCGTGGGGGCGACTCCTCCGCAGCTAATTCGGCAGCTCGTGCATTCCCAGCGGTACACGACCGCGCCTTCCAGAATAGCAATTCCAGAGGCATTTGAGTTCTGCACTGATGCTGAGAAGACTAGCTGCCTGAAGAGAAAGTTCAAAGTAATCAGGATGGTTTCATTTGCAGAACACAAATGTCTTCAGCTACTGTATGCTAACCAAACACACAAAAGCTTAAGTAACTGCATTGTTGGTGTGGGCTGTTTCACTTTAAAGCACTGCACTACGTGTCTTAGCTTGAGGTAACAAACTGGGGGTGGGGTGGGGTGGTTATTTGTGTTTTTTTGCCACCAGCCTTTTCTGGTTAGTTGATGAGCGAGTACTGCACATCTCTTAAAACAAAACAAAAAAGTTAATTATACCAAGTGCGAACGGTCCCTATCCCATATAGGCAGTAGCCTGTCTTTGGAGAAGGGATGCCCGTTAAATGGCTCCTCTCCATCTTCCAGAAAACAAAGGCATCTTGATACAAGCTTTTTCTCCTGCAACACCTGCTGTAAGAGTCATTCCTAGACAACGCAAACCCTTTGAACTCCAAAATTCAAGACTGTTTGTGGGCTCACACCAGGTCTTAGTTGCAGTTAATCAGAAACTGTGCCATAGCGTCAGAGCCAATTCCTCTTGATCTTGCAGGCACTTGCTAGGAATGAAACAAGGCTTTTCTTTAATAAGCCAAATTATCAAGGGTGTCTCAGTTTGAATTACAGTTTTTTGGGTTGGTTTGGGGTTTTTTTGCCCCCACAAAAGCTTAACTGTGGTTTCTTGTGTTAGCAGACTACTCGATCTAGATTGCTTAAGTTAGCTGCTCCCAGAGGTGTCTTGATGAAATAGGGTGTTGTTCATGCCACTTCCCCTTGCATGTAAAACACGGTTGTAACCAGTCTGTGTCCGGTTTCAAGGTGCAACTGCATTTTTCCAGCGTTTAATGTGTTTCTCTCTCTCATCGCAATGGTCACTGCAGCACTGAAGCTTCAGCGTGCCAGCATCTCTCGTGGTTCAGTGCTTAAAGGTTGTAGAGCCGAGGAGGTGGTTGTGCGGTGGCCTGAACTGGGGTGTTGTCTTGAAGCAGAGTAGTGGGTGAGGGAGCAGCGGTGCAGCATGACGGCTTGCCCGAATTCAGCGCCATCAGCCACCTTACCCAAGTAATACACCAGAGTACTTCTCAAAAACTCAAAATGCTTTCAAAATAAGAGATTACCTTCTGGATTAGGATTAAAATACCTAACCTAAAACCTCGACTGTTGTTTTAATTCCAGGCTTTGAGCCACGTGGGGAACAATCTCTGTCGTTACTACACTATGAACAACAACGTGCCCATTCAGCGCCCCTGAAGCAGCATGATGGGGGGCAGCAGGGCATAAAGTTATTTTAACAAGATTCTACTTTTCTAGTCCAAATGGTCGGCTTGGTGCAAAAGCTGACAAAGCCGATCCTGAGGTAGAAAGAACGTGCGTAAGGAAGCTGAAAGCAAAGCTTTGCTGAACAGTTCTTCCAAATCCCCTGGAAGTTTTGATGTTAAAGTTTTTCTTGACACTGAACTCTGCAGCATTACTATACAGTTTTAATACCAAATTTATCAGACGAAGTAGATGAGGGAAGCAATACACGTAATGCTCCAATACACTAAAGTTGATATCTGAATGCTCTTGCCCTGTTGTATTTAAAAATACTTTAAAAAAAAAATAATTTAAGGATTCTTCCGCCTCACCTTTTTGGGGTTTTGTTTGTTTTTCACACACGTATTTCACTGGATTCCAGTTTAATCTTTAAAATTGTGTATTTTGAGTGTATTGTTCAGGCAATGCAGTTATAATGCATAATTTTACTAACCTCTAGATAATTCCTACCTTGTTCTTGACCAACTAGGGACAACGTATTTTACCATGAACAGATACAGAATTTTTGCCTATCAGCCTCTGAAGAGAAAACGTCTTCCTAAGCACAGGATGACGGTAGCAACTCAGGACAGAATTTCAGTCTGATCCTCATTTTCCACAGATCCGAAATATTAAAAGCCGTAAGTCGTAACCTGCCCTGCCCGTGCTGGTTTGGGTTGCTACAGGTGGCAGGTCAGTACTCAAACTGCGATGACTCCGCCAGCCTCGGTCGCCGTTCAGCTCGGTGAGCGGGCGCTGCTTCTCCCAGTCATTCAGAAGGGGCCGGGTGCACACACACGAACGCGGCACAGCCCCTGTCGTTCTCCCGCTGCTTCCCCACCACCTGCAGCCTTCGCCTGCAATGTGAACTCATCCATCACTGGCTACACATCACAGGATCAACTTGCACACAGAAAGCCCAACCTTGCTGATGCAGAACCTTAAGACACTGCGCATTTTTAATTCTGACAGTAGCTTCATTAACAAATACTTCACGTTTCTAGGTTTAACCTCATTTTAATCTAGTTTTAGATGGAACTTTAAATGCTTTATTGCTACCTGAAAGTCAGTAGTAAGAAAATTAAGTGGTGGGTTTTGTGTCTATTTAGAAATGGTTTCCGCCACTGGTATCGACAAATTTCTCATGGTATTACTTGGGACTGCCAGACCGAGGTATCAGAACTTTCCCCCTCTCAGCTTCAAGTATCTCAACCACTAATACAAACCATGTATGTTTTAAACACCCTGTGTAACTAAAAAGGAAAACAGGACTAGAAATTAGTTTTAATAAACCCATTTTTTTTTTTAATATACCCATAAGTTTTAATTACTTGTAATTCAGAAGACTGCTTATCTTCTCTGTGTTTTACCAGATTTTCTCTTTCCAACCAGCAAATGTTTTGGCTTCAAGTCAAATATGTGTCTGTCCGACTCCCCTTTCCTGCCCAGGCGATTCATTTTCTTTTGAGCTTTCTTTGCCATCGTCTTGACCTTCTTCACCATCTGTTTAAAAACAAGGAAGCACACATGCCTCAGAAACTCGGGTAATGGGCTTTACCTTTTAAAAACCCACTCAGCCAGATGATTTTAACAAGGGCATAAACCACCACCCAACAGAGGCCGCCATCTGCAACTCTGGAACAGCGTCGCTGCAAGTGACATCAATCCCTCTCAGCAAAACTCTGCTTTCTCCAGTACGCTAACAATGTGGTCGCGCTAGCCCCGGAACTCCTAACTTACTAAAGGTGGAACTCCACAGTTCGTACAACTCTTCCTTCACACTTGCCTTTAGCGACACAAATTAAAATATACTTTCTTAGTCTGTATTATTACAACTTCTCTTTAAGAATGAACTAAAGCATAGAGGCTTCAAACAAACAGAAGATGAAGCTGCAAAGAGAAGAAAGATGAACTCTTAACAAAGACAACCAGCCTAGCATGAAGCTTCCCAGCAGCTGGTTTAAGTACAGTCATGCTGTTTTAATAGCTATAAAGGTAAATAACTTCAACAAACCTTTTCATCACGAAGACCAGAAACATCCCGTGGAGTGCGAGAGGAGCTGCGGCTGCGCGCCACGGATTTAGGGGTTTCAGACTCATCACGTTTACGTTTCCTCGTAGTGCTACGGGACCTTCTCACATAATGTGCCTGAAATTCAAAACATCGCTTTAGTTATTACAACCAGAAACAATCAGCTCAGACATGCTCCATTTCTAATTAGACTAACGTGAAAGAACAGGAGTGGGCTGCTGTGATAGGTTGTATTGGCTATTCCACAGTAACATAAAGACCTTGTCCACTGTTGGTCCCTGCCTTTCTGTCCTACAGTAATATTCACATTTTGGTGAATATAAGCATGTTCTTTCACAATTATCAACTCCAGTTTTATGATTTTTTTTCTGAGTAGATTCATAAGTAATGGATAAAAAGACACAGACAAATAAATGGAAAGCAATACCACAACAGCAAAAAAGGAATGAGTAATCCTACCCTGATTAGCGTTCTGTTTACAGGACAAAGCCCTTAAGAATTTCAGACATGAAGACTTATCACCCTACAGTGTAAGTATTAAACTCCTCCTCACAGAGATAGCTCCTAAATCAACACGGCACATCAGCTCCGAGAAGCATAAACGCTTGCTTCAGACGTGCAGTGCTGACATTGTTTCCTATCTCATTGTTTCGTGACAGAGTTTGAGAGCTAGATAGCCCTAACGCCGCTGGCTTTGCTCTACAAAATGGATTTTTTTTTTTCACTTTGGATAAAACAAAATGTCTCCCAAAGGCAAATCTACGTTTGAAGTACTTGAGCCACCTTACATCTAAAGACACCAGCTGCCCTCAGAAACTTCAATCACAACTCACAGAATTAATTAACTGTAAAAAAGATAAGCCTGATCTGTCACTATGACTATTTTTGACACAGCAGTGTCTCACTCAACAAAGCAGTCTTGAAAATTAGGAAGTATGTTTAGCCAGACCCCGTTCTTGAATCCTATACGAATTCCAAAAGAGTTCTAATGGCAAGCAGTGCATATATGTATCTGTGACTCCTGGATAGTTTATTTTTTCAGCCTACCCAGCATGTTTTGATCATGTCACTCAAAAATTCCAGTATCGACTGGCTCATCTGGGTTTCCTATTTTCTCCTTGACAGATCCCAGCTCTCTCTTGTGCCAACTGTCATAAGCATTTCCAATGCACTCAAAGAAATTTAGCATGTAATGGAATCGATCTCTTTTAGATAAACATTGTGTTTAATAAGCAAGAACTTACATCATCTTTATTAGTCATGTCGAGTCCAAGATCAGTCATTTCTTTCTCTAGCACCTTCCGCTGGACCTGGAAAAGGACAGTTAAGAAAACATGTTTCTTTCAAAAAAGTATAGTTCCATCTTATTTTTTGTCTTACTATACCACCATAAGCCCACTCCATTCACTACATATTTATTCCTTTGGCACATCCCACAAGCAGTTGATGAAAGTAATAATTTCACATTTCATTTATTGCAACTGAATTCTCTTCGCCCATAAATCATTCTTCACAGACAGCAACATTCCAGCATTCCCTAAAGATCTGTCAAACAGTTTGCCTTTTTGGGGGGAAGGTGACAAAGAGAGGTCTTTCAGTCAGAAATGTTTCCTTCTCTCCCAAAAAGCACACGCTTTGGGGAAGATAAGAAATATTGGGTGCATAATCAGCAAGGTTCATTTTGTCAAAATGTCTGGTTATCAGTTTGTTATTCAGCATACTGTTATTTGTCTTGGACTGGTCACAAGAGATTCTGATATTAGAAAGTGTGATACCTAGCTTCCAAAAAGAAATATATATAATCTCTTCCAGCATAGGGAGGGCTCCATAACAAATCTTACATAGTTTTGACTTTAAGTACATAATTCTCCTAATTCTTTGCATTTAAAATAATAATAAAAATATACTATGCAGCAATCCGATTAAATGAGCTGAACTGTATTCTTCAAAACTTTTTCTGCAATACATATGGAATTTTACAAAGGACTTGTGTGATACAAAACAAAAAGGGCCACTATCATTCATTTGCTTTGGCCTCCACAACTAAGTAGTGCCCAGAGCTTCCAGGAGCACAAGAGGAAGCAAGCGGCAAGGGAGAGGGCCAGGCATGAGAAAAAGTCATCAGTTCCACTACCCAATATTGTTATTCTACATCAGAAAGATTTTACCTCAAAATGTGTTCTAAACTTGCCTTTTTAGCCGTTCTAGGCATCCTCGGACCTCGAGTATCTTTTTCCTTTGACTGCAGGATTTTCAGTTTCTTCTTTTCTCGGATCTGTTGGGCCAACTGTCGGATTTCCATCATTTCTTCATCTTCACTTTCTGGTTCACTGTCATATTCTCCAGCAGCTTCTCTCAGCTCTTCCTCTTTCTCCAATTCCTCCAGTTTCTTGGGTTTTGAAGAGACAAAATGAAAATCAAGATGCTCATCAAATCCTTGATTTACAATCCTCAACATTACATTTTTGCATAGTCCAGGGCCATGGCAGCATGCAGATCCTTCAAAGAAGGAACTACATTTACTTGGGAAGGACCTTTCCAGCCACACGTAATGCAGCTGGTGATATAGATTACCATGAACCTATGGGGCACACTACTACACAGAATTGCTTCATCAAATCACATTATAGTTTGGCTGTATTTGTGTGATTGCCCCGAAGCTGCCCACTGCATGACTGCAAATATACTATACCATGAATGGCGGTAGCTGTGCCGTTTCTGGAAATGCGCTCTGAAAAAAACCCTCTCTTTCTACACTTAACTTGAGTCTGGAACACCAGCAATTCAGAAGAACCCAACTGCGTAACCGCAGGCTCCACGGTATGCACTCACTACCTCTCCTTAACAACCAGCAAGAAATAAGAAA